GTCCAATATGATCTTGAAGTCACTTTAAATGTGTTCTATTCTTTGGCCCTTTGCTTCCTTCATTTAATGTTTTGTCTTCCACTCTTTTCAAGCAGTTGCCCTAGAGGATGCAATATACATTTATAACTTATCTAAGCCCACTTTCAAATTAACACGATACACCTTCATGGGTAGTGAAAGTGCAGAGTATTTTCAATTCCTCCCTCCTGTCCTTTGTAACACTGCAATCATTCATTTTACTTATCCACAAGCTCTAATTATAGAACACAATATTGACAGTATTATTTTGTCAAATCAATTTAGAATAAGAAAAATAGATTTAATTTTACCTTTATTCCTTCTCTAAATTTTTTTTTTTTTTTCCAGAACCAAGTTGCCAACCTATAACATTTCCATTTCTTTGAAGAACTTCTTTTAACATTTCTTGCAGTTCAGGTCCACTGATGACAGTCTCCCTCCATTTTTGTTTGTCTAAGAAAGTATTTTTCTTTTGACTTTTTAAGAATAATTTCACTGGATATCAAATTCTGTGTGTTTTTTTTTTCCTTCCAACACTTTAAATATTTCACTCTACTCTCTTCTTGCATAGTTTCTGAAGATAAGTCCAATTTAATTTTTTTTTTTTAAGATTTTATTTATTTGACAGAGATCACAAGTAGGCAGAGAGGCAGGCAGAGAGAGAAGGGGAAGCAGGCTTCCCACTGAGCAGAGAGCCTGATGAGGGGCTGGATCCCAGGACCCTGGGACCACAACCGGAGCCGAAGGCAGAGGCTTCAACCCACTGAGCCACCCAGATGGCCCAAGTCCAATTTAATTCTTACCCCTTTTTCTCTGTAGGCAAGGTTCCCCCCCTGCACACGCCCCCCAGCTTCATGATTTTTTACTTTCAGAATATACATGTCCAGTTATACATTTTTTAGTATTTATCCAGTTTGCAGTTTTCTATGGTTCCTGGATCTGTGGGTTTTGTGTCTGCATTAAGAAAATTTTTAGAAAATTCTGTCACTATTTCTTCGAATAGTTCTTTATCTTTTCTTCTTCTAGGTTTCCTATTATGCCAATGTTACACATTTTGTCATTTCCACAGAGTACTTGGATATTGTTTTTTTTTTCATCTTTTTTCTCTTTGCATTTCAGTTTTATAAACCTTCTATTGACACATTTTCAACCTACATTCTCTCCTTGGCTGTGTCCAGTATACTTATGAGCCAATCAAAGCTATTTTTTTTTTTTAAAGATTTTATTTATTTATTTGACAGAGAGAGATCACAAGTAGGCCGAGAGGCAGGCAGAGAGAGAGAGAGGGAAGCAGGCTCCCTGCCGAGCAGAGAGCCCGATACGGGACTCGATCCCAGGACCCTGAGATCATGACCTGAGCCGAAGGCAGCGGCTTAACCCACTGAGCCACCCAGGCGCCCCATCAAAGCTATTTTTCATTTCTGTTCATGTGTTTTAGTTTTCTAGCACTTCCTCTGGATTCATCCTTAGTGTTTTTCATTTCTCTGTTTACAGTCCCCTTCTGTTCCTACATGTTGTCCATTCCCCCACCCCACTTCAAAGACTAGAGGGGGATGGGGCTGAGTATTTTTATTGCTCTAGATTGCTAAACCTCCAGTTGGTTAGGTAAAATAGTTTCCCTTAATGGCAGGGTTGATAAGGAAAACAGACAGCTCTAGGCATATTTCAAAACGGTCACTTTTCCTCTTCCCCAGACAGAAGAGGATTTTTCTCCTATCTTCACAGTGAGAACCTGGCAGAACTTCTAGAGGTAAAATTCAGGAGAATGTGGGTGGTCTCCCTTCCCCCAAAAGGGGAACCACTTGAACCTTTTAACTCTAAAGCTAGTTGATGAGTTTAAATTCTCATGGTAGTCCACAATGAGCTTTCAGCAATTTACCAATTACTGGGTAGTCAGGAGTCAGGAGTCAGTGTGGGGTAGGGTGTTCCTACCCCACACTGACTCCTGCTGCCAACTTCTGCTGCCTCTAAGCTGTGCTCTTTAAATACCTGCCTGTCTCTCCTTTTTGGGGGTCAATAACTTTCCTGCTGACCTCAGTCTTTCATGGATTTAGAAAAGAGTTGATGATTTTTAGTTTGTTCAGGTTTTTCTTATTGTGAGGATGGAAGTGACTGACCTCCGAGCTCCAAACTCTTTACATACTGAACTGGAAACCTCTAACTTACTTAAAGTGTCCTCTTTCCTGGCATAGGCCTGACCCACAAGTATGACTGGGAGGAAGAGGGTAAATCTGTTTTGTCTTGGTTCCTCCACCTTTTACTTCTATACGTCCCACACTCACTCTGTTGCCTTGAAGTCCATTAGCATCAGCTTAGGGATGGGGGGAAGAAAAGTCTATTGTAAAGGAAAATCATGGTGCCCTCTGTAACAACTGCCTAAAGCTGCCTAAAAACAACTGCTGACGCTTTTGTACATTTTGGAGAGTCACCCAAATTCTGGAACTCCCAACACTGCCATTGCCAGATGCGCAGAATGAATGCTCCAGCCAGCATGTCAAATTTCCATGCAGATCCTCTCCTGGTGGCTTACTTCATATAACTTCATTCTGCTCCTTGGTTGCTTTTCCTTTCTTTCATTCTACTGGAAACACTTCTTTTTCAAAACAATTCTAGTAGTGGTACAAGTTGAAATGTGTTCCCTTGAAAAGATACGATACAATAAAGTCCTAAGCCCATTACCTCACAAATGACATTATTTGGAAATAAGGCCATTAGATAATCAAGCTAAAATGAGGTCACTGGGGTATACTCTAATGCAATATGATTAGAGTCCCTATACAATGGCAAACATTTGGATGCAGAGACAATACACAGGGAGAATGTCATGACAAGATACAAGTAGAGATTGGGATAATGCATCTATAAGCCAAGGGACATCAAAGATTCCAGCAAACCACCAGATCCCAGAAGAGGGGTATGGAAGAAAATTTTCTTCGTGTTCAGAAAGAACCACATTGCCTACACTTTCACCTTGAACTTCTAACTTCCAGAAATGTGAGGCAGTAATTTTTTGTTGTGAAGCCACCTAGTTTAAGGTACTTTGTTATTGGTGGCCCTTGAAAATGAATACAACAGCCATGTGCCAACATGTCTACTAGCTGTTGGGAAAATGCGACAGTTTTTATCTCTTTGTCATCACCAGCACCCTCAGTTGGTCTCTTCCCTTTAAATATTTCCAGGCAAGAGAGCTGGGTAATCACCTTTGGGACTGCCATTTCCCAAACTCCAAGGTTACTGGTCAAGCCTCATCCCCACCACATTTTCAAATCTCTTACAACCCTCCTCCTCAGTGTAAGCGAAGAGGGACCAGGGGCCGGATCATGTAGTATCTTAGAGTTTTATGAAAACAATTTTTTATTTTCTTCTACTTGAGTAAAGAAGGTCTTTAAAATTTTGCCCAGGAAAGTAACAAATTCTGACATGTATTTTAGAAGCATTTTTACAGCTGCCAAATGGAGGCTAGACTGTAGGAAGGCAAAAAAAAAAAAAAAAAAAAAAAAAGAAGCTTGTAGAATAATTAAAAGGCAATTACAGCATCCACTGAGTAGCAGAATAATGCTGTATAGGTGTTGAGAACTAATTAGGTTCAGCATACCTTTTGTAAAAAGAGCCAACAGATTTTGCTGAGGGATTGGACATGGAATGGTATAGAAAGAGGAGTCAGAGGATAATCTGAACAATTTTAAGAATCCAATGCCATTTACTGAGATGGGGAGATATGCAATAGGAGACAGGTTTTGAAGGTAGAAGATAGAATCTGAAATGCATATTAAATATCCTAGTAATATGTTGAATAAGAAGTTGGATATGTGAGTATAATAATCATAGACGTCAGGGCTGGATGTGGGTATTTGGAAGCCATCAGCATAGTGAAGTTATGTAAAACATGGTGAAGGAAACAGATGAGATCACCTGGGGAATAAGGAGAGATAAAGAAGGGAATAAGTCTGGAGCATAATCACCTTTAGAAATCAGGAAGAGGGGCACCTGGGTGGGTCAGTCCACTAAGCTACTGCCCTTCAGCCCAGGTCATGATCCCGGGGTCTTGGAATCCAGCCCAGTGTTGGGTTCTCTGCTCTGTGGTGAGCCTGCTTCTCCCTCTCCCTGTGCTCTCTCTCTGTGTCAAATAGATAAATAAAATCTTAGAAAGAAAGAAAGAAAAAGAAAGAAAGAAAGAAAGAAAGAAAGAAAGAAAGAAAGAAAGAAATCAGGAAGAATCAAGCGAAGGAGAATCAAAAAAGCACCATGATTTCACAATAGTCAAAGGAAAAATGTGTATCAAGTTTCAAGTAAAAAGATGTAATTAACTGTGTCAAATGATGCTAAATGGTTAAGATGAAGATTAAGAGTTGCCTCTTGGATTTCTGATTGTTTAAATGCCGGGATATGGACACACAAACTCCTTCATTCTAACATTTCAACTACCTAAGAGGTCTCACATTCAAGTGTGGATAAGAATTAAAGATCTAGACGTATTTTTAACATTATGTATTCTGTACTTTGTGAGCCATTTAAATGATTTTCATGAACAATTTTTGCTACCAGGAATTTCCCCATAAAGGCTGCGTTTAGAACCAAAGTCCTCTTAGTCATGTGATTACAGGTTTCCACAAATGTTTCTCATTCATCCCACTAGTAACTCAGGAAATAGGAAAAAAGCAGATGAGGGAACTTAACCTTAATTTCCTACTTTATAAGTCGTAATTTTGAAGTAAATTTAACCTTCCAAATCTAGAAGTTTCGACCTTCTGTCTTCTCTGGAGCTGAATGGAGTGGGTAAAGTATGAATAAAACATAAGTGGGAGAGTAGGCAACTGGCTGCATGGACAGTCTCGAAACTGCTTTTTAATTTTCTTGGAGAACGAGGCTTCAAGGTGGCCCTGTCCTCAAGGCTACTCAGGAAGTGGAGTCTCCCGCTTTAAAAAAGAGGGTATAGGAAAAGGCGACCAAGGCCCGCGGAGAAAGAATAGAACAACTCTTACCTCCCACAAGCCTCTCTCTCCCAGCCCACCTAGCTCCACAGGAACCAATTTAGCGACCACGCTCCGCCCATTTCCGGATTGTCGCAGGCGCCGTCGCGTGCGCAATGACGTTTCAGTTGCCCGCGGACCCCGGAAGTGCGGCTCGAACTTGGTCGGGGAGCGGATCCCGAGAGGGAAAGTCGTAACAACCGCACGAGGGAGTTTGTCTGGCGAGCTGGAAGGCCACGCCTCCTCCCGACTCCCCCCGCAGTCCTGTAGCTGGGGGCAGAGCTCAGGTAGGACCTGCGTTTGCCGGGATATGAGCTCCGGGGCCAGGCCCTGGCGGAAATCAGAGGAAGGGGCTGGCCTGGTCGGTCTCGGGCTGGGATCGTTAGCCCCGGGGCCGCAGGCTGCCCACATCTCACACTGCGTGCCCTGTGCACAGGCGTCCCCAATTCTGGGACACCACCTAAAGGCAGGTTCCCCCTGCCGTTTTTACTTATGAGGCGGGGCAGGACACGTGCGTTCCCTGGTTGACTGTCCTTACAAATGAACATGTGGGGTTTGGTGAGCCCTAGAGACCATAGAGTAATGGGCCCTGGTATGCTTTCTCAGGAGGGACGGTATTTATTGTCTGATTAAACATTTTTTTTTCTATAAAAATTATAATCAACGGCGGAAGCTTTACCAGATGTCATTAACTGCAGGCAGAAAATTAAAGTGCAGTTATAAAAAATCTCTCAAAACTTGTAAAATATATGTATGGGCGCTGGTGGGACATTTGACTGGAATGGGTTTTTAAACTTTTGACTTTAAAATAAACTTAGGTGTGTTTTGGAAGCATGCTTTACTCTCTCATATCCAGAGTTTTAACATATTCTTCTCATGCTGCAGAGTGTATCTCTTGGGCCAAGAATTGGTTACTTAATTTTTGTCTATTTTATTAACAACTAGTGTTCTTGCATTTGTGTATTTCCCTACCTCTGCGAAGTTGTAGAGAGAAAAATTATGTGGTTTTCAGACTAGCAAGTGCCTCGTAATGTTTGCTAAAACAGATGCAGTGCAATGTTTATTACGCAATACATGGTATCTTTTTGTTTTAAAGCAGTGTTAGAGGTAAATTCTGTATTTTTGTACTTTATTCCATATTGTAAGGTTATAGTGTATTCACTTAGGGTATTTAGAAACTGTGAGAGCAAGCACTGTTTGAAGTGTCTAATTAAGGTATTATTGTCAGTGCTGGTACCAGGCTTCTGACTTTTTAAACTAGGTGTTCCGCTTTAATCATTCCTACTCTGGATGGCTTTGAGGCAGTGGCTGGTGGCTGTTGGAAGGCTGGAGGTGGTAGAAGTGTACCAAGACCAAGAGGAAAATATGATTTTATGCCGTGAGCATCCATCTGTTTATTCATTTAACAAGTATTTATTGGCCACCCTCAATGTGCCAAGTGGTGTTTTAGGTGATGGGGGTACAATAGGGAACAAAATAGACAAAGTCCTTGTGCTCCTGGAATTTACTCGCAGTGGATGGAGAAAAAGATTAGCAAGTAAATGTATATATCAAGTAGTGATAAAAACTGTGAAGAAAATAAAGCTCTTTATGGGGAGTGAGGATTACAGAGAATACTATTTTACATAGGATTTTCAAGCTTAGCCTCTCTGATAAAGGAACATATGAGTAGACATCTGAATGAAATGAGAGAGTGAACTCTGCAGGTTGTGGGATGGGTGTTTTAGTGTAGCAGAACGTGTTGAGGCAAGGGTATGTTTGGTATATCCGAGAATAGCAATGATGGAGGCGTTAGGGTTTAAGAATCTCGAAAATGAGTATTTATTCAGTGGTTTGGTGTGTGCATGGGAGATCTTACTTATTGACAGACTGTTGATTTTTTTTTTCCATCTTTCCCAGATAGAGCTCTATGAGGAGAATCTGAAGTCTTTAAATATTTAGAGATGTTTCTGCTCTTCACTGACACTAATGAAGTTAAACACCATTTACTTAGTTAATAAATTAGTTGTGCTCTCTGTTTTAGTCAGATAAGGTTTACACAGTAGCCATGGATAAGTAAATATCAAGTACTTTCCTGCCCTATTGTAAACTTTACTTTTCATTCATCTTTTTTATTCTGGTAAAATATACATAACATAAAATTTACCATTTTAAACTGTATATATGAGTGGTATTAAGTACACTCACACTATTAGGCAATCATCACTGTCATCCATCTCCAGAACTTTTCATCTTCCTCAACTGAAAATCCATACTCTTTAAACATTAACTCTCTGTTTTCCCCTCCCTTTAGCCTCTCACAACCACCAGTTTACTTTCTGTCTCTAAATATCCTGTCTCTACTCAAGGTTTACTCGTATGAATAGAATCATACAATAATTGTCCTTTGGTGACTGGCTTATTTCACTTAGCATTATGCTTTCAAGGTTCATGCATGTTGTATCTTGTTTTCTTCTTAAGGTTGACTGATACTCCATTGTATGTGTATACCACATTTTTTTAAATCATTTTGACCGTGGATGATTGTGTTGCTTTCACATTTTGCCTGTTGTGAATAAAGGTTTCTCTGAACAGAAGTGTGCACATATCTGTTTGAGTTTCTGCTTTCATGTCTCTTGCCTATATATCCAGAATTGGATCAAATGTCAATTCTGTATTTAATTTTTTAGGAATCACCTTACTGTTATCCACACTGGTTGTACTATTTTATGTTCCTACTAACAATGAGCAGAGGTTGCAATTTTTCTATGTCTTTACCGATACTTTTTCACATCTTTGCCAAACACATTCTCTCTCTCTCTCTCTCTCATAATAGTCATCCTAATGGGTGTGAATTACTATCTCATGCAGTTTTTATTTGAAGTTTCCTAATGATTGGAGGTGTTAAACATCTTTTCATATGCATTGGGGCCATATGTATATCTTCTTCGGAGTGCTATTCATTTATTTTAAGATCTGATTTTCATAGAAATTTTTGGATTTTTTTTTTTTTTTTTTTTTGGTGAGTCTTCTAAGGGTTAAGAAGACAGCTGCGATTTCTCTGTGGATTATCTTAACCCTAAAATACTATAATTGTAAAAATTTCAATTTTCTGTAGACAAGTATCTGCAATAACTCCAAACTTAGAAATAAAAAGGACCATAAAGCATCTTTTATAACAATGAATGAACCTTTGAGTATCAGATTGTGATAAAAAACAGTTCAGAAAAACCAAGGATCATTCTGACCTGCTTTGATTTTTTTTTTTTTTTTTTAATTAGAAGGCAAGGAATGTATTGATTGGCTGACTGTGTCTGTGAAGTTGATCTCTTTTTTCTGAGAGCTGGAGGCCTGGAAACAAACAGAAGAGACAAAAATGGTGAAACAGGGGCACCTGGGTGGCTCAGTCAGTTAAGCATCTGACTGTTGATTTTGGCTCAGGTCATGATCTCGGGGTTGTGAGGTAGAACTCTGCATCTGGCTATGTGCTGGGCTTGCAGCCTGCTTAAGATTCTCTCTTTCTGTTCTCCCTTCTCCCCTTAAAAATGGTGAAACAGAAGAAAGAAGTACTGGATAGCAATATAACAGTGGGGAGTGGCAAAGGACATCAGTAACGGTGATGGACAATAAGCAGCAGAACTGGCAGCAGAGGAGATAAGATTCAGCAACAAGGTGACAGAAACTAATATAGCTCCACCGATTGGAATGGGATGGGGCGGGAGAGAGCAGATCACCAGCTACATCTCAGCATATGGTTCTGAAATCAGCCATTTGAGTAGTTCAGTAAGACCTACTGTGTACCAGTGTGTCAGTCAGTTCATCTGGCTCAGTAGTCAATGTTTGGAAGGTGTGCAGTATGTACAGTCCTACAGGAATAAACTAAAATTTTCAGACAGTGTATCACATTATTTCCATCCATAGAATAATGAGGTTTAATTGAGTAATTTAATGAGTAATTGTGTAATTTAACAATGTTCAGCATTGTTAAAAAAGAGCGGGGGGGTGGATTATTTTTTTAGGAAAAGGAAAGGAATTTTTTTTGTCCAGAATAGCTAATGGCCTAGTAGTTCAAGGTAACACTTTTTTTTTTTCCTTTTTTTTTAAACTATTGAATGGTTTTGTATACTATCATTGTCTAGAAAATACTCTTGGGTACTACATTTAGATAACTATTTCAGTTACAAAGCTCATTTAAACTGATTACTTTAATTTAAAGTAATGAATGAAAAATTGTACCACAATTTTGCTCATCACTCTTTGGCAAATTAAAATTGATTAATTTGGTACAGATGAGATGGCAGATGACTGAATTGCTCGAGGTTTCACAGCTAAGTTAAAGACAAGGCAGAGACAGCAGTGCTCTGCTGCTTTCTCTGTTATTGTATTGTTGTCTTTTTTGGGATACTGGTTCCTTTTTCCAATATAGATAATGTAGATGATTTTGCTGTAGAGAAAAATATCACTGTGAAGACACGTTATTGAAGCAAAGCATTTTATATAGCAGATAAGATATTTATTTTAAGTATAGTCTAGATTGATAATGTACTCAGGGTTGATTTCTTTGGAGGTTGGAGAGATGCTAATACGACTAAGATTTGGGGGGTGCCTGGGTGGCTCTGTGGGTTAAGCCTCTGCCTTCAGCTCAGGTCATGATCCCAGGTCCTGGGATGGAGCCCTGCATCGGGCTCTCTGCTCAGTGGGGAGCCTGCCCCCCCCACCCCGCCTGGCTCTCTGCCTACTTGTAATCTGTCTCTCAAATAAATAAGTAAAATATTAAAAAAAAAAAAGACTAAGATTTTGGATTTTGGCCTTTATAAGACCCTTTATGAGCTCATTACAAAAATGGTCACAACTAATACCCAGCAGTATAACTATTAACTGTCATAAGATATGGCTGATGTTCTTAGCCCGTGCTAATCACATTTTCCTCATACGAGTTTTGGCATCAGAAAGCAGCAAGAATGATACTGTATGTGGGTAAACACACTACTTCTACTTAAAAAACAATTCAGAGTTAATATCTAAGGTAATGAAGGAGTGTTAAGTGATATCCTTTCCAGGTATAAGGCATAAATTGGTTTTGTGTGCCTTGTTTAGAATATGTACAGGCTAGAATTGTAACCAAAATTGCAACTCAAAGTAAGGCATTTTTAAAAAGTCAAAAGTTTGATTAATTAAAATAGTTAAATACTCTCCTGATTAGTATTACCTGTTCTTCAGGGTATCATCATTTTTGTGTGTATTATGGAAATTGTTATAGTACTAACTCATTTTTTTGGGAAATTAATCATCTTGATCCATTTGGTTT